TGGCCCAATAAAACAAAATACTAGCATAATTAAAATAGGAAATCTGAAACCAAACAACCCTATTTTAATTCCCATTCTCTTTCGTATCAAAAACCCTTCTTTTCTTCTTCTTCCTTTGCTTCATCCTTTTCTCCGGCCACCGTCGCCATGACAATACCCCCCGCCGAGCGCGGCTCTTGTCCCCAAGGGCCAAAAAGAGGGAACTTTCGACGAATAAAGCCCTCATCTTCCCAAGTAGGCTTGGCGAGATCGGCGTTAGTCCACTGCACAAGAATCTGAGGAGTATCTCGACCGGCGACGAATGATGCGGTGGTCCATGATCTGCAAAGGTTGAACCTTGAAGTTCCCGTCAGCATCAGTTTGCGGTAGTTCTGTGGAAGGTAATTTTCCAAACTCAATTTTCTTTTTCAAAAGTGAAACATGAAAAACGGGGTGGATCTTCGAATCCTCCGGCAGATCCAACTTATATGCCACAGTTCCTATTTTTTCCAAAATTTTGTAAGGACCGTAATATCTTGTTGATAACTTGAGGTTTTTTCTGAGGGAAATGGAATTCTGTCTGAAAGGTTGTAGTTTGAGGTACACTTCATCACCCACAGCTAGGGTTCTCTCTTTTCTGTGTTGATCTGCAAAAATTTTCATCCTGTGTTGTGCATGTTTCAAGTTTTCCTTTAATTGTTGTGTGATTGCCTGTCTTTGCTTGAGGACTTCATGTGCATCTGCATTATTGACATCTAGGAATGGCCCCATGAAAAAATTTGGGGGTGGGTAACCATATAGTGCCTCGAAAGGAGTTAGTTTCAGACTTGTGTGAAAATTAGTATTGTACCAGTACTCAGCCAAACTGAGCCACTGTCCCCATTTTTTAGGATGCTCATGTGTCATGCACCTCAAATAAGTTTCCAGACACTGGTTCACCCTCTCAGTCTGTCCATCAGATTGAGGGTGATATGCAGAAGACAAATTAAGATTGACCCCCAAACCTTTGAACAATGCCTTCCAAAATGAACTTGTGAAAATCTTATCCCTGTCAGACAAAATACTGAATGGCAATCCATGTAACTTATAGACATTGTCTAGGAATACCTTGGCCACATCTTGTGCTGTGTAGGGGTGAGATAGAGGAATGAAGTGAGAGTACTTTGTAAACCTGTCCACCACTACAAGAATAACATTTTTTTCCAGCAGACTTGGGTAGTCCCTCTATGAAATCCATGGAGACATGTGTCCAAGCTTGTTCCGGTATAGGTAGGGGTTGTAACAACCCTGGATAAGGCCCACTCTCAGGTTTACTTCTCTTGCACACTTCACATGCACTCACCCAGGCAATAACATCTTTTTTCATAAGTGGACAAAAAAAACTACTCTTCATCCTCATATAGGTACCATTTACCCCTGAGTGACCTCCATAAGAAGAACCATGTAGGGTCTCTAGTATGGTCTGCCTCAAAACAGTATCTGAGCCCACCATAAGTCTGCCTTTGAACCTTATCAATCCTCTGGTGACCTGAAAATCAGAATAGGTAGGGTCCTTCATTGCATGAGCTTGAAGGATCTTTTGGCAATAGGGATCTCCAACATAGCTGTCTATCACCTTGCAAACCCACTGGGGAGTGATGGTGGTAATGGCCAAACAATTTCCCTCTCTTTGTTCTCTTATGGAAAGTGCATCAGCTACCTTGTTATCCACTCCTTTTTTATAGTGGATTTCATAGTCCAGCCCCAACAGTTTGGTAAGCCATTTCTGTTGCATAGGATTCATTGCTTTTTGGTCCAGTAGATACCTCAATGCTTGTTGATCAGTTTTGATAATGAATTTATGACCCAACAAGTAACTCCTCCACTTTTGCACTGCCATAAGAACAGCTAAGAATTCCCTCTCATATATCGATAGTTCTTGGTTCTTAGGACACAATCCCTTGCTCATAAAAGCAATGGGCCTCCCTTCCTGCATAAGTACAGCCCCAATCCCTTTTCCACTAGCATCTGTCTCCAAGATTAGTGGCTTGGAGAAATCAGGCATTGCTAGTGCTGTGACCATAGCCTTTTTTAATGCTTGGAATGCTCCTTCAGCTTCATCATTCCAACTGAATTTGTCATTCCTCAGTAAATTAGTCATTGGTTTACTTATAACACCATAACCTTTAATAAACCTTCTGTAATATCCAGTGAGCCCCAAGAAACCCCTTAATTGTTTGAAACTGGTGGGTGTAGGCCAGTTTAGCATGCTAGCCACCTTTGCTGGGTCAGTAGCCACACCTTGGTGTGATATGATATGACCCAAGTACTCTACTTCTGTCTGCCCAAACTGACACTTAGACATCTTAGCATACAACTGATTGTCTTTTAATGTCTTTAAAACAACTTCTAAGTGGGTCATGTGTTCTTCCAAACTTGTACTGTAGACCAAAATGTCATAAAAAAAAAAACCAAAACAAACTTCCTTAGATAGGGTCTGAATACTTGGTTCATCAGTGACTGAAAAGTTGCTGGTGCATTGCACAAGCCAAAAGGCATAACCAAGTATTCATAATGGCCATTGTGGGTAGAAAAAGCTGTGTAATGTCTGTGAGAGGGCTTCATCAATATTTGGAAATATCCTGACCTGAGGTCTATTTTGGAAAAGTAGCTTGCCCCATGGAGTTCATCCAACAGCTCATCAATGACTGGAATGGGGTAATCATGTTTGATAGTGAGTTCATTGAGATACCTGTAGTCAACACACATCCTCCATGTGTTATCTTTCTTTTTGACCAAAATCACAGGTGATGCAAATGGGCTGTGGCTATTTTGAATGATGCCCAATTCCAGCATTTCTTGCACTATCTTCTCAATCTCATCCTTTTGAGCATGTGATGCCCTGTAGGGGTATTGGTGTTTAGGAACACTCCCTTCTTTTAGGATGATTTGGTGCTCCACATTCCTCTCAGGTGGCAGTCCCTTAGGTTCCTGGAAAACTACCTTGTACCTTTGCAGTAAGCCATCAAGTAGAGGGTTAAGTTTGGGTTCATCTACTTCAGTAGTCAGCAGGTAAAGCTCTTCTACTTGATTGTCTTCTTGATGAACCAGCTTATATAAGGCATCCCCAGAAATAAATTTGCAATTTGTGTTAGAAGTTAGAGCTTGTAATTTAATCCTCTTGCCTTGCAAGGTGACAGTGAATGTCATTTTGTCATAGTCAAGCTCTATGGGAGTACAGGATTTCAACCAGTCACCACCAAGTATAAGATCACAACCCTCATTCAGTAGTAACCTTAGTGGATAAGCAAATTTATGACCCTGCATTTTCCATTGAAAGTTTTCTACCTTCTGTGTACTCACCATCTTGTGTCCATTTGCCACCCGGATCATAATAGGTTTGGCCTTCTGTAGGGTGCACCCTAGTTTCTTGGCAGTACTTTCTTGAATAAAACTGAGGGTACTACCAGAATCAATTAAAATATGTAACTTCTGTCCATCACATTCCCCAAAAAGCCTCATGGTAGTTAGGCTCTGTTCCCCTGCTAAAGCATTCAAAGACATTTGAATTTCTTCAATTTCAGCTGGAATTTCTGGTTCAATGTTCTCTCCTTCATGACCCAAATAAGATAATTCTTCTTCCTCTGACATAATCATGTAAGTGATCCTTGCTTTGCATCTGTGCCCAACCACATAGGGTTCATCACAATTGTAGCATAAACCCTTTTCTCTTCTTGCAGCCATTTCATGGGCTGTAAGCATTTTGATGGGTGGTTTGAACTGTGTGTTAGGAATCTGGCCTCTATAGTTCGAACTTCCTTCAGGTTTCCTGTAGTAAGTTGCATGTGTGCCCTGAGGTTTATATTGGTTTTTGACCCTCTTAGTAATGGCCTCCATAGTACACAGTTGTTTCCTTCCCAAATCAATAGTTTGCTGCAGAGATTTTGGATCAAACATGTTGATGAAAGCTTGGGATTCCTCACTTAGCCCACTGAGGAAACTAGCAATGAAATATTCCTCTGTGAACTCCCCTGTGTTGAATAACAACATGCAAGATTTAAGTTCTTTTAACTTTTCCACATAATCCTCATAGGAACCAGAATGTTTCAGTTTGTTAAACTCCCCTATAATTATTTCTTCCTTAATCTCCTCAAACCTAGAGGACACAATTTCTAGGAACTGTGACCAATTGCAGCCTTAATATTTGGTACAAAAATTCTGGTACCAGTGAGCTGCCCTCCCATCAAAGTGCATGGATGCCATGATAATTTCTTTGAATCAGGAATATTTGGAATAATCTTGAAATAGCCATTGCACTTGAGGATCCAGTTCCTAGCGTTAGTACCATCAAATCTGGGAAAATCCAATTTGGGCATGGGGTTAATGAAATGGGCAGGTTGGTCTAATTGCAATGGTTTAAAGGTATGTTGTTGTTTAGTGTATGACCCTTGCTTGGATGTATGCTGAAAAGGGGAACCCAGAATAGATTCCTCCTCTTCTGTTGATTTTTCTTTGTTCAAATTCATCAACTGCAGCTGAATAGATGCCAACACATTTGCCAAATTGTCATACTTACCATCTAAGCTGCCCATCTTGTCTTTCAGCTCAGAAGATAGACCCATCATTTTGCTCTGCAACTCCGAGTTGAGCCCAGCCATTTGCTCCTGTAATTTCAACTCACTGGATTCCCGTTTTAGTGCTTCTGTGTGGACATACTGATCCAACTTCTTTTGTTGCTCCTGCAGGTCTTTGAAGCGTGTGTTCTCAGCCATCGAGAGGATCGACGAGCTCTGATACCAATTGTTGTGTTTTGTTGTATTTTTACTTGATTGTATTGTATACTAAGCTCGTATACTCTGTATGTGAGATTAATGGAGGTTTGCTGTAATTAGACTTGGGGAAGAAGAGATTGAAAGAGGGAGAAGGGAGA